GATAGTTCCAATTACACGAATTATGAATCAAAATTCGAAACTCACATCAGCATAAAATTTAAAATCATGTTCATATTCTTCTGAGCTTCCTTTGATGCAGGACGAGAACGGGAAGCAGGCCGACGCGGCATATGTCAGAATCAAGAGCAGAAATATCTTGTAAAGCATTGCTCTCTAAATCATGATATATTGGGATCAATAATGCAAACATTTTTTCTGAAGAACATTTCCTTGAAGTGATGGTGTAATATTGTCGTGATCATGCTTCCAAAAAATGCTTGAGTTCAACAGGTCAGAATAAAAAATTAGTGAAATTTTCGCAATCCGTCTACAACTATTGTTTGTAGAAAAATTTAATGTATTGAAGGTTGTTTGATGAAAGTTTATTTATTTATGACTACAGTCAAAGTGTACCGAGAAAAAAAGAACTAAAACTAATTGGATACAGCTGTTCTCAAACTCAGGATGAATATGATAAGGAAAAGCAGAAACAATCACGAATTGAAGCACTGTAGGTAAACACAGAATCAAGTTATCAGTCCATCATGAGGAATTGCAGGATAAACAAAACCTTGCTTTCTCTAAAACTCGATAGTTCTCTTTCACATTGCCAGCGAGCCCGCGAGCAAAGGCTAGCTGACTACCCCACTAACATTCAGTTTCAAAGAGAGCAAGATTATGCATTAGAGCAATTTCAACATCATAATAAATCATGTCCATATGGAATTGTTCTGTTACTTGGGGACACGGATGAAGATAGAGTTTAAGCTAAATGAGACGAGCTGGTTTATCAATAAATTCAAAGATATATTAGTAATTGATGGAATATGAAACGGATAGTGTTCAATCTATGTAGTCTACTGGCTGATTATCAGATGGTAGAAAGTTCGGCGTTTACGATTGAAGACTGGACGAATAGTTGAAGCTTGTGATTTGGAACAACAGTAGATAGTACATAGATATGTACAGGATACGTCTAAAAATCATAGATATCAAGAAGTAGGAACAAATTTACATTTTGTAATTTTCTTCGGAAAATTCTGGAATTTTCACTAGTTATAATATGATTTGGAAGTGAAGAAAACCATCTACAAGTTCGATAAGCAAAAGAGTTGAAAGTCATAAAAGGTCGCTTTTTTCCTAATTCACGATAATGCAAGCCAAACCTACCTGATCGTTCACCACAAGGTACAAAGATCCAATATCTACTCGCTTTGAGTTCACTTTTAAAGCAGAAGATTCGGAAGCAAAGAGTAAGATCGTTAAGAACACGCCTGTACTTTAAACTTTGAAGCTTGAGCATATTGAGACGGGAACGGTAAGATGGTAAGGCTTGAAGATATCTAGGGTTCGGAAAGGATCTATAGAATAGTAACCTCGTGAAATATTGATGTGTCATTTTAAAAATGGAGTCAAAACAGGCGAAGCATATTCAAGATGTGGTAAAACATAACTCTTGTACAATTTCAAGAAAACATCATTATCGTTGCTTTCTATCTAAAAATTGTAAAAAGCGATGTTGATGATTCCTTGATTACATGATGAGGTGGGAAGAGAATGTGAGGGAGTTGTCAATCATCACACCAAGATCACGTACGACAGTGGAAAACTCAAGAGCGATGCCGTTGCAGTAGTAAGTACTACAAGGTGTGTTATCAAGGTGCATTACATTGGTTTTAGAAGAATTGACTGGTATATTCCATTCGTTGGACCACAATAACTTTTCTCAATTGACAAAGAAAGTGCATCAAAAGCCGTATGTTGTTGGCACAAGGCGTAACAGTAGTACCTTGATGTCATCGGCAGACATTCGAAGGGGGTATGCAGGTAGTTCAGCCACATATATCAGAAAAAAGGGGTGAAAGAACACCATTTTGCGGTACTCCACTATTGGAATGATAACGATCCGAGTATTGGCAATCTACCCTAACTGTCATACCTCTATCTTGAAGATAGGATATTAACCACGAAATCAAAGGACCTCTTATTCCGTAGTTATACAGTTTAGAAAGGAGCTTTTGATGATTAACTTCATCGAACGCCTTAGAAAGATAGAAGTTTATAATGTCAACCGATAGACCATTGTTAAGAGCGTTAAACCAGTCAAAAACAGAGTCAGAAAGCATAGTATTGGTAGAGCGACCTGGCATAAAGCCATGTTGTTCAGGAGGAATAATGTGATGGTCTTGCAGCCAAGTGAATAGTTTTTACACAATCATAATCTTTTCAAGAACTTTTCCTACAGAAGGCAAAATGCTAATAGGACGGTAATTTGAAATGGTGTCTCCAAAAGCTTTCTTGGGCATAGCGGTAATCAATGCTTCTTTCCAAATTCTAGGGACATCACCAGCAGAGAGAGAGATGCATTGAAGATATTCAATAGAGGAAAACTAAGAGTTTTTGCACAGTTTTTGAGAATGATCTGCGGGATACCATCATAAGCATTAGGTTGTAAAGAAAGTTCCCGGGCACTTGCGAATATTTTTTTCAAAGCACTGTAACTTCAAGCAGATTGATTGTTATTTGAAGCTACAAACTTCGCATCGCAAAGACAATTTTGTCCACATCATATATTTGTCTTGCTGGCTTTTCAGCGCCTCACTGGGTCCACCAGCATGCGCAGAAGGGGAAAAGGTCGTCGCGAAAAGTAGCCTATTTGTGCAGGATTATCTCAGGCAGGATGAGAGCTGGAGAGCTCAAATGCTGTAGTTATATACAGTTCTGCTGGGGCTGTTATGAAGACCATTCATACTTTTGAAGGACCACCTGCACAAATGATTTTCCTTAGAAAGTTTGAAAAATCGACCATTTTTTGCCCCTAAAAATGCACCATTTTTCGAGTAAGTGACTTTGAACTCTTGTCGTTTTGCAAGGGTGGACCAAATCTTTGATTACCGCGAACATTGTTGGAGTAATGCCTTACACATCTTTGGACCCATCATCCAGGCGTGGCGATCCTCGCAGAAGCGACGCCAGCTGCGAAAAGAGTTGTAGTCAGAGGCAAGTTTGACAGCTTGTAATTTCTGAGCGCAAATCGCAAAACTCGAGTGCAGCTGCGGATCAGAAGATAACAGGCTTCTCAATCAAATCACCCATGATTAGACAAAATTCTTCGAATTGCACAAAAAAAATGGCTGTAGGAAGAAAAATTGTGAAATTTTTGTTGTTGGAAAAAATTACTTTTTGATGGGCAGATCAAACACGTCTTGGCATCGATAAAAATCAGAAGCCGTATTGAAAACGTTAGGCTTCCCTCTAATGAATAGTTTAAAAAACTGGGTGTCAAATTCCGACCGAGCGCCGAAAAAATGCGTTTAAAAATGAAATTTCCAAAAGTGCCCGAGAACTTTCTTTACAACCTAATAATTGTAGTGCATAATTTGAGCCTTTTCAAGGTGTCATAAATAAGATCTGTGGTTACTCGAATATCACCACACGATTCAGTGATACTTTCGATTCCTACAAAAGAAGGATGAAAAGCTTCAAAGACACCATTTTCGAATACTCCAGCAAAAAAGCTTCCTAAAGCATTTGCCTTGTTTAAATCATCTTCAAAAGTGTTTCCAGGGTCACCATTGAGAGTAGGCAACCTTGATATTCCTTTAGCTTTGTATTTGAAGTAATGTAATAAATTTTTGCCATTACTTTTAGCAGGACGACGTTCATAAATAGACAAGAACTTCTTGAGATGGTGGTTTAAATCAAGGCATACCTTTTTACATAGGGGAATTATTGATGGATCAGACGACCAAGAAAAAAGATGTGATTTTTGCTCCATCAGATTTGTGATGTGTTGTGGATATTTATGGAGTGGAGCTTTTCGAAAACGGAATGGTATATGTTTCGCAAAAATGTTATATAGTTCAAGACGAAATCGGTAATAGAGGTCATCGATGGATGTCCAGCTATCAAAAACGTCTAAACAGTCGACATGTGAAAGAATTTCATTGATTTCACGAAAATCAGCTTTTTGAAATCAGGAAAAGGTAAAAAGTCACGTCTGAAGTAGGAGAAATTAGCATAAAAGTTATAACATTATGATCAGATGACCCGAAAGGGGACAATATGCGTAGACTTTCGACAATATTACTGGGTGAAAAAACTAGGTCAATAACTGCTGTTCCTCTGGTAGGAAGTGTGACATTCTAAACCATATTGCAGTCTTGAAAGAGAGAAAGGATGCGCTCATGTTGTGGGGGTCTACAAGGGGGGATGAAATCGATGTTGAAGTCGCTCAGAATGATTGTTGTGAATGGTAGAGAACAGAGATCGGTGAGGATTTTTTGTCAAATCATCATCATCAGCAGCTTTGGATGTTTGTGGACAGTATGCCGTTACGACTACGAAAAGAGAAGGGACCTGGGTAGAATAAAGATCTAAGAGAATGTCAGATTTCGTTTTCCCTTTGATTAATTTGTCGAACTAAAAGCTCCATTTTAAACAGCAGACCCCAACACCTTTCTTTCCAGCACGATCAGATCGATAAACATTATAAGGAAGGAGGTCAATGGTTGATTCACTATTAGATATTTTTGGGCTAAGCCATTGACTCTGTGATACAAACATGTCTGGGATGAACCAAAAAGTACACAAAGAAGAATGAAATGAATGTAACTTGTTAACTGAACTGCGGGCGTTGAATAAATAACAAGATAAATGATCAGAAACACCTGGCCTTCTCTTTCCCTGATGGGCGCTTGGGGAGGTCAGAGACTTGTCTGAGTTTACCCTCTGTAGCCCACCCACTCTTTGACGGGCTTTCCCCGGTTTCTCTCACTAGCCTGCTTGCGCAACTGATAGTTTAGCTCACGTTCTGCAGGAGTCATGCTTTTACGGATGTAGATGTGCGAAAGCGAAGAATTTTGTAGAAGGTAAAACTTTGCTAGGGCCTGAGTCCAGGCAGAGCGAGAGGAGAAAACAACTTTAACAACCCTTGTTTTACCCTCCGCAAACTAACCCATACGGAAGATTTCGCATGGTTAAATTCATATTTATATGTTTTAACACATGTGCGATTTCTCCAACTGTTGTTTCCTTTCAAGCAATTGTCGGTCCATTGGAGTCTTAGGAAGTCCGGCTAGTACAATACTTCGTTCTCTTTTTTCAATTTCTGCATCTTTTGGCATCCTATTTCTCAAAGCTATAACCAACTTTTCTATAATATAAGTGGATCAGTGTTCCTGTCAAGAATGGACTTAATGATCTCACCCACAAAGAGGTCTTCAAAATCTACTGTCTCAACATCAGGTTTACTGACAGTAAGATTATCATGAGCAGATCCTGTCACCTTCATTTTCTTGGGTGCCCGTGTGGCGGCTTTTGGAGAAGATGAGTCAAGATGGGAACGGGCAGGCATTCTAGCAATGTATTGGTATTTGAAATCGTATCCAAAAGATGCCGGTAGAAAAACAAGTGTGAAAAAACGCGCTTACTTGGATGACGTAGAACACGTTGGATGGTACTGATGTTGTAAATGAGAGCGAGCTATTAAAGCAACCGCTCAGGATCACAGCAGAAGCAAGAGTGAGTTTGTAAGTTTCCAATTTTGCTTTGCAACATAAATTTACAGTTTATGCATATACGAAGTATAAACAAAATCAGCAGCAAATTTCTGTGGATAGGACATTGCTGATCGTCTAAAGTGGAATCGTCTGTCTTTGTGAAAAGAAATAAGACTGTACAAACAGAGCAAGATCTAACAGTGATGACGAGAGGAGAGGCCAGCAACCACTATGTCGGCAAAAGATTTGCTCGCGCTGCGGGTCCCACGACGGAACGGATACTTTTCACGTTTGAGCTAAGCGGCTGTAAATTGACAGAGGGGTGTATGTGCGCATACTGATTACGAGAACATCAGAATTTAGAATTGCCGATTACCAGTGTACGGTAACCATTATTCTGAACGTGAGCACGCTGTTCTTTCGTGTCACGATGGCGGCCGATGGGGTAAGAAAGAGGCGCGTTATTGATCGTTTGGCTTTCTTTAATTCTGTGGTGTTATACACACCTACTTACTTAGACACTTAGATGGTCCGTGCACACGTTTCGTTTCCTCAGCACAAAAGCTTCCATTTGTCCCTGTCCCTCGCTTCAGACATCCACGATCTTCTTGGTTGTCGGTGACTGCGTCCACGAGTTCCAGGTGCGATACACGTATCCAGCCGATTTTTCAGCTGGTCCATTTCCACGAACACGTCTGCCCATCTCGTCGGTGATCTCCCTCAAGGACGTTTGGTTTCGCAAGGAATCCACTCAGATGCCCTTAGTTTCCTCTGTCATCTGTTCTTCTCATGATGTAACCGGCCCATCGGTGTTTCGCTTTCGATACGTATTCCGCTGAGTCACGAAGAAGGGACATTCTTCTCAAATCCGTACTGGGAAGTCCGACTACATGTCGCTTGTGTCGAGTCATCCTCAGAAGACTGCGCTCGAGCGCTCTGTGGGTGGTCCGTAAAGCTTTCGACGTGGCTACAGTGTCGGCCCGAGTTTCAGCTGCGTCACAGAGCGCCGGGAGAACGGTTGAGTCGAACAGGTGGGCACGAAGCTCCAGGTCCGTCAGTTGTCAGTGGCTTCCTTAAGAAGCCCGAAGGCGGCCCAGGCTGCTCTTCCTCTCCTGTTAAGTTCTTTCCACACGTAAAAAGACGTCGCCATAATAAGGGTGCCTTCCAGTTCCATTTCTGCATCTGCGCAAAGGGCGTTCTTCATGAACTGGGTCTTATTCCGATTTATTCGCGATCCGATCTTCTTCCCTACTTCGTTCAGTTCCTTCAGCATCGTCTCTGCTTCAGTGATATTGGTCGTGGTCGAAAAGAGAATGTTGTCGTCCGCAAAACAAAGGTTCGACAGGAATCTCCCATCAACTCGTATGCCTCTCTCGCCAGTCCAGTGTCTTCATCACCCACTGCAAGGCCGCGGTGAACAGCTTCGGCGAAATATTAGGTTGGCAAAAAAATAAGTTCGGTCGTTTTCAACGGTTTGTACAAATCTTACAAATTATTTTGTGTAAGAATGTTTGGTACCATTAGAAAGAGCAAATCAGGGAGAAGCGGATGGTTAACCCTGTTTGAGCGCCAATCATCATTTTGACGACGAAATTGTGCAGGAAATGGAAATAGTCAAATTTTTTCATCGAATTTTTGAAAAATCATGCCCCGAAAAATGAGCTAAAGTTGGGTGCAAAATGCACAACTGGCCTCCACACCACAATTTCTGAAAATTCCAACAATTTGTATGGCCATTGATGGTTAAACTCGAGCGATTCGGACTGCCCAAAAGCTGACTCCCATGCGCAAATGCCTAGAAATTCTCACATTTTTGGCTGCAGAAATTCACAAGCAACAGATCACAATCTCCATTGTGGTTCGCCATGTAGCCAAAGGCTGTATACACCTAACCACCAAATTAGTCATCTGTGCGCTCACTGAGGGCTGAGAACGATACTTAGAAATTCAAAAAAGCGAATTTTCAGAAGGCTAGACATATAAGGGCATACTTGCTAATTATTGATGACCAAAAACTGCGACTATTTGGCAGGTGATAGTAGAGGGTTGAAGCTACCTCCTGGCAAAAAATCTTTGCTAAATATTTGCTAGTCGATTTGTTACAGACTTTCGAAAAAGCATGTCAAACCGAACTTATTTATTAGCCAACCAATAGTATCACCTTGTCGAACCCCCTTCCCGATTGGAATGGTCACGGGGCGATGAAATAGCTGCATCGTTGTTGTACAGTCCTTGTAGTTGGCTAGTGTCCTCACATAGGCTGGGTCCACTCCTTGAACGACTAGCGCAGACAGGATGGCGTTCGTTTTGACGCTGTCGAAGGCTTTCTCGTAGTCGATGAAGGTTAGAACGAGAGACATTCTCCCGGCAGACTTCTATGACTCTCGAAACCGTATGGATGTGGTCTATGCGACTGAATCCCTTGCGGAATCCAGCTTGTTCTTGGGGTTGGGCTTCATCCAATGTCCTAGATATGCGAGCGAGGATAATCTTCGTAAAAAGTTTGTAGAGCACACTCAGCAGGCATATTGGACGGTAGTTCCGAAGATCATCCTGTGCGCCCTTCTTGAAAAAAGGACGGTTCTTAACGTTCTCCACTAGTCTAAAATCCTCTCCTTCTAAAGTAAGATGTCAGGTGCAAAGCAAGAACCTCGTGTAGAGGTGTCGTCCGGCTCGCAGAAGTTTGACGGAGAGATGATCTGGTCCTGGAGCCCTGGACGTCTTCATGGTCTGTATCGCGACACGCACTTCAGCGAAATCCTTGGTGGTACTTCTCCAGTGGGAACAACGGTCATCGGCATGGGTGTGTTGATGAGCAGAAGAGGCTGGCGTAGAAGTTCTTTGCGATAGGTTTCATTTTGTATCTCGACAAAAGTCGAAGTTCAGTCTTCGTTCAATTAGTGCAGCCAGCGGTACGTGATATTCACAGAGGTCCCTTCGGCACTTCTTAAGACTTCGTCTTCCTTCGGCTGATTCCAGTATCTTGGCTTGCCTGTACTTCCTGAGATCCTCCTGCAAAGCTGTTCTGCAACTGACATTGACTATCAGTCGCTTAAGATGGTTTGCATATCCTGCCTCAGAAATCTTCTTAGCAATTCCTTGGTGGTATTCGAAATAGGTTCCAAATTCTTCTCAGAATTCACTGAGGCGCACTCTCCGCAGGCTAGCAATTTTTTCAAAAGCCGGTCGCAACCGTACGTTGGGTCCTCCTCGATGGGCCAGTCACAACTTGATATGAGCTCTTCCAGCCTGTTACCGTCATAAACGACATTCTTCCTTCTTGCGGTACTGTGACAGACTTTCTTTTCTAGCCTTCGGCTGAGTCGTATCTTCACTCGAAGAAGGCGGTGATCGGAGCCACTGCAGAAGGATGGAACTACCGAAACATCGAGTAAGTTCCACCTTCGGTTGGTGAGAATGTGGTCGATCTCAGCATGAGTCGTTCCGTTGGGCAATTCCAAGTCCACCGACGATGTTCTTTCTTCATGAAGATGGAGTTTCCACGGAAAAGTCGTGCGGCGGAGAGAAACCCAACGAGACGGTTGCCGTTTTTGTTTCGGAGCCCATATCCAAACTTCCCGATCCTATATTCCTTTTCTAGTGGCATCCCGATTTTCGCGTTGAAGTCGCCCACAACGAAGTTGTAGAAGGACTTCTCGTTGCGGACGACCTGCTCCATGTCTTCGTAGAAAGCATCTAGTTCTGATTCGTCAGCTGCTGATGTTGGTGAGTAGCAGGCTGATGATGCTGATGGTATCCTGACGTGGGGGACATAGTCGTAGGATGGCTATCGAGGTGACAGGATCTCATGCGAATCCACAAGATGAACGATAGATGGGTGGACGACAAAATTAACGCCTCCAACGTTTTGTGATGGAACCTTTTCACCACGAATGATGAGGGTCCCCTCACTCATCTGTCGCACGTCCTTCTTCCTGGACTTCGTTTCCTGCAGAGCGATGATGTGGCACTTGATGTGCTCTGCAGTGTCGAGAAGAGCGTGGAGGTCGGCGTTTGTGCAGACTGTCCTGGCGTTGTAGGTGCAGAGCATGAGGCAGTCTCCATGGCGTTCATCCGGGCAGACGTGTCGTTTTTATTCAATCCTAGAAGGCGCTATGAGGACCCTAAAATCGTTCTTGCTACCAGCCGGCGCTGTAGGCGGGATCTGATGTGCAGGGTTTCTTTCCAATCTTCTAACTGGCGGAGGAATAAAATTTTTCCTCTACAAGAGCAGACTTGGCCTACTCTTGATTTCGACGGGGCGACCGCTGACCCCGGGCTTCGAGCGGGAAAAAACCGCCTATTGACCAGAAGAAGCCAGACGGCGGGGGATCTGGTGTGTTATACACATGCAAGCAATATTTTATCGCGGAGTGTCATGGCTCGCATTTGACTTTTTTGATCTGATTTCTCTTCACAAAACTACAGTCCTTCGCACAGGCTTCAGAATATTGAATCACCGTTTCAACGGCATCATTGTGCAAACATGAAATTTATCACGTTTTCAATGATTCCTACAATCCACGAAGAAGTCTTGCGAAGGATTGCACGAACAATCATTTTCTCATTATGGAAAGTTCATTCCATTTCTGCCCAACTTAGGAAACATAAAACTCACTTCGAATTTGTTTTATGAAAAGTTCAACTTTTCTAGCAAAAAACTGAGCCATTAATTAACTTCGACCTCGAGGAGAGAGAAATTTAGCATTTTTTGGAGAAGAGCCTCACATTGAAAAATTTGTCTCTTTTTTCCTATCAAATTTCCAAGATAATTCATCAACACATTGAGACACGCATGGGCAATGATTACCGCATGGGACCGCTTGACACACCATGTGTGTACACACTTCCTCTC